GCCTTTTCAGCGGGTAATAGGGTCAGCTTTCGGGACACGCTAACTAGAACTCGGCCACATGTAGCACTGGACTTAGAGGAAGAAGAGGGAATCGTAGAGGATAATGATGTTACGGTCGATTTTAATCGACCCGAACCAGACATTCAAATCTCTGCATCCTTCAAGGAATCAATGATTAAGTCATGGGACAATGTGGTTGTCATCAAACTACTGGGGCTCACGATGAGTATGTCGGTGCTGTACCGGAGACTGGTCACTCTATGGCCATTCATTCAGGACTGCCCAATGGTGGACCTAGAAAATGGCTACTTTTTTTATCAAGTTCAACAGCAAGGAGGATGTATTGAAAGCTCTAGTTGATGGACCATGGGTTATTAGTAAGCACTATTTGCACGTCCAACCTTGGACTGAACACTTTGATGAGCACGTGGCTAAGATCACCAACACCATTGCGTGGATTCGCCTACCGGGTATGCCGGTGCACCTATATCACAAGAAAATATTCCGTTCCATTGGGCAAATTGTTGGGAAAGTAGTTAAACTAGATTATCAAACCGCTACGCAAACGCGGGGCAAGTTTGCGAGGATTCAGTTCTCCTTGATCTGACAAAACCACTGTGTGCAAGCTTTACCATCCAAGGCAAACAACAGAGGGTTGAGTATGAAAGCCTTCCTAACATATGCTACCATTGTGGTCGCTAGGGCTGCAAACGAGTCGAGCAGCTCGCGAGCCGCTCACGAGCGCTCGAGTCAAAGCTCGACTCGAACTCGAGTTTGACCGATCTCGAGTCGAGCTCGAGCGGCTCGAGCACGAACTCGAGTCGAGCTCGAGCCCGTATATTGCATTATCGAGCGGCTCGCGAGCGGATCGAGATATATGAAATTACTAAAATACCCTTGTATATATATGTAATTAATGCTTATTTTACAAAATTTCTTGAAAAAATTCGAGCCGAACTCGAGCCGAGCTCGAGCATTATGAATTCGAGTCGAGCTCGAGTCGAGCTCGAGCTCTTGTATGTTTTGATCGAGTCGAGCTCGAGCACCAAAAATTGAGCTCGACGAGCTCGAGCTTGAGCTCGAGCACCTAAAAAAAAAAAATTCAATCCGCTCGATAAGGCCAATGCTCGACTCGGCTCGGCTCATTTGCAGCCCTAGTGGTCGCTACGACCACCAGCTAGGGACTTGCCCGGAGCAGTCTGAACCACACGCCTCCAAGGTTGCTAGCGGAGCGGGAGAGAAGACATGTCCGACAAAGGATAACGCAGCTACAACAGAACCAGACCCTCGAAATGGGTCGAGTTTTGGCCCGTGGATGCAGGCGCAAAAGGGAAGACGTACTGGGGGGAGAAACAACTCAGGGGCTGTTGACATGGCTACTAAACAACAAGGGGTATCCTTTGCGGCGGGCACACGTTTTGACTCTCTAGGGAACATACAGGAGGAAAGCACGACGAGTATGGTATTCTCCACAAAAAAAGGGGTGACCCAGAGGGGCGTAAAGGATAATTGGAGACCCATTTCCGACTTTAAAAAGGGTAGGGGAAAAGCAAAGATGGGGGACGCACGGGACCTAGAGGAGACCGTGCATGCGCCGGAGACCAGACCGGGCCGCGAGACCTCTGTCGTCGGATCTGAGACATCCAACCCAACGGGAAACCGTGATCAGGGGCCATGAAACAAGCGAGCGGGGACAATCTCGGGACATATTGGGACGAGACATATGCAGAGTACTGGATCAGGACACGTTGATGCGCGGACGGAAATGGAGGAGTTGGCCCTCACAGAAACGACCCGTGTAGTTCCGGTTGCCTCAGGCCTCGACCTGACTTTTCATAAGGCAGTCCGGATTATGGACAGCCAGGAGACAGTAGGGGAACCTATCGCACATGATCCGGGAGATACCATAATGGCTGAGGGTTCAAACGTTCTTCACCAATCCCCACCGGGACTAGAAGACGTACATGATGATACCATGGTTGCGGAGACACCAGATAACTCCGTAGTTTTGCTTTCTCGCTAGTGGATAGCACTCCCCCTCTAAGTCTCTCTCTATGAGTGTTATGTTTTGGAATGTTAGAGGGGCTGGCTCGTCAACTTTCAGCCAGACTTTTTCTACCCTTAAGGCTAGCTATAATCCTGATATTGTTGCACTTTTTGAACCACGTGTGAGTGGTAAAAAGGCAGATAGGTTCGTGAAACACAGTGGCTATGATCACTCTTTCCGTGTAGAGGCCCTTGGTTTCTCGGGCGGCATTTGGATCTTGTGGAACGATATAGTGGAGTTAACGGTTATTAAATGCCATAAACAATTTGTGCATGCATTGGTTAAGACCGAGTCCTGGGAGTCTCTAATCACGTTCGTGTACGCAAGACCAAACCCAAGAGGCCGACGAGACATTTGGGAAGCCCTCGACATGCTGGCAAGTAGTATTCAATCCCCATGGGTCCTTGGCGGTGACTTTAACTGTACGTTGAGCCCTAAAGAACAGCAAGGTGGAGCGCGGGGCCGCAACTTTGATACGAGCTTTTCTGACTGTTGTTTTGCGAATAATTTTTTCGAAGTAAAGACGGACGACTTCCAATACACTTGGTTTGGCCCAAATATTGAGAAAAAGTTAGACCGAATCATTGCAAATGAGCTCTGGGTAGATAGATTCGACTCGGTGATAGTCTCCTACTTACCGCGACATCAATCAGACCATATTCCCCTATTGCTACATTGTGGCAGCCGCCCGGATGTTGGGACGAGGGGTCCAAAGCCCTTTAAGTTTTTCGCATCATGGCTCATGCATGACAAATTCGGGGAATTGGTCGAAAAAGCGTGGAACTCCCCTAACTACATATCGGCGATGAATAATTTCTCTTTAGAAGCGAGGCAGTGGAACTTCCAAGTCTTTGGGAACATCTTCCTTCGGAAAAAACGACTTTTGGCTCGACTAGGGGGTGTCCAACGCCACCTAAAAACTTATGTCACAAATCGTCTTCTAACAATGTAACGAGAGCTGAGTGCGGAGCTTGAGGAAGTACTAGCCCAAGAAGAATTGCTTATGCTGCAAAAGTCCCACAGAGACTGGACTTTATTTGGGGACCGTAACACAGCATTTTTCCACCGTTCGGTCAAGCATCGTAGACGTCGGAACAAGATCACAGCTCTGCAAAGTGAAGAGGGGGATATGATCGTTGACCAAACCGCCTTGCGACATCTCGCGAACAATTTCTTCACAAAAATATATACGGCAGGCCCCGCTCCAATTGGTTGCAGGCAAAAGCCAGTGGCCTTCCCGGAGGTGGCAGTAGAGGAATGGTTACGTTTAACTAGGGATGTTCCAGAATTCGAGATCTTTCAGGCCCTTAGCTCGATGCACCCTCTTAAAGCCCCCAGCTTGGACGACCTCCATGCGCTCTTCTTCCAAAAAAATTGGGCCATCGTGGGGAAATCAGTCTGTAATATAGTCCGTCAAGTCTTACACGGGGGAGCTATGCCCCCACAGTTAAACAAAACTTTAATCGTGCTTATCCCCAAAGTTGACCACCCAAGCACAATCAAAGAGTTTCGACCGATAAGCCTCCTGAACGTGGTGTACAGAATCATTACTAAAGTTCTCACATCCAGGATGAAAAGCCTAATGCCGCGCTTGATTGGCCCAGCTCAGGTTAGTTTCATTCCAGGCAGACATATGACGGACAACATAGTCATTGCCCAAGAGCTCGTTCACACCATGCGAAATATGGCGGGTAGAAAGGGCTACATGGTCGTGAAGGTAGATTTAGAGAAAGCTTATGACTATTTGAGCTGGGAATTTCCGGAGAGTACGCTACCTTTAGTTGGCTTTCCCCGAGCATTTGTGACGAGCATTATGACTTGCGTAACCTCTGCTACAATGCATTTATCTTGGAATGGCAGCCCCAGTGAGGAGTTCACCCCGACTCGGGGGGTCCGGCAAGGCGACCCAATCTCCCCCTACCTTTTTGTCCTATGCATGGAACGACTAGCTTTGGCCATCAACCGATACGTTCACGATGGCAGGTGGAGGCCGATTTCTCTAGCCGGGGTAAAGTACAGATACCATATCTGATGTTCGCCGATGACCTACTTCTATTTATTGAGGCAACGGCCGACCAAGCCGCTTGTTTAAGGGGAGTCTTAGATGAGTTCTGTCGTGACTCCAGTCTCAAAATCAGTATGCTGAAAACAAAAATTTTCTTCTCGAAAAACGTCCCTACTGATGTTGCCCGAGACTTGACCTGCTCGCTGGGCTATGATCGCGTCGACAATATAGGGAAATATCTAGGAATGCCAATCATTCACGAAAGAGTTAACCATGAGACCTACGCTAATATCTTGCACAAAATCGAAACACGCCTCGCTGGATGGAAAAGCTCGTCACTGTCACTAGCCGGCAGGACCACTTTGATTCAATCGGTGGTGAATACCTTATCATTTTACTCAATGCAAACCGCTTGGCTTCCCTCCTCAGTGTGTGCTAGTATCGATAGGAGGTGTCGACGATTCTTGTGGGGTAGCACGGAATCTCAAAAGAAAATAAATTTGGTGAGGTGGGAGGACCTGTGCCGGCCCAAGGCGGTAGGGGGGGTTAGGATTTAAGGACCAATGGACGATGAACAAGGCACTTCTGATGAAGTTGGGATGGGGTCTATTAACTTCCCCCAATGCGTTATGGGTCCGAGTAATTTCAGCGAAGTATAGTCTTGACCTGGACAAGCATTCTGATACCTTTAAAGTTCCACGAGGTTCGACCATTATTCGTGCTATTTCGCGGGTTTGGGGACCAGTTGTTGAAGGGATCCGCTGGTCATTTCGCAACGGCCATAGAGTACACTTTTGGACGGACTGATGGCTTACGAATTCCACAATCCTACTCCACGAAGCCCGTCAGCCGGTACTAGAAGAGCTCCTCACTTGGACTTTGGATAAATTCGTTGACGGAGCCGGAGTTTGGCGTTGGGATCTCTTCCAACCGCTGCTGCCCGCGACGATGCTATTGCGCATTGCAGCCACCCTACCTCCTTCTCTGGACATGGGCAACGACATCATGTATTGGGGGTGGTCGGGGGATGGTCGCTTCACCACCAGCTCGGCATATGACTATTTGGCGGGATCACAGCTAGAGAATAATGGGCGCATATGGAAATATATTTGGAGCTGGTCTGGTCCCCAAAGGATTCGGCAGTTCATGTGGCTGGTGGTTAAAGATCGACTGCTTACCAATGACGAATGCTTCTGCCGGCATCTAGCAGAGAGTGCCACCTGTGTTTTATGCGGGGCCACACGCGAGACGGTATTGCACTGCCTCTGTGACTGTTGCCACGCAGAGCAAACGTGGCGTCGGTTAATCCCACCTCACTCTCAGGCCTCTTTCTTTAACCTAGAGCTTCGCGAATGGCTGTGCTTAAATATTCGTAATAATCTGCATATTCCGGTAGAGAACTGGGCCTGCATGTTTGGGATCACGCTATGGAACATATGGCGTGGCCGGAATTCCTTCATTTTCGAGAAAACCGGGCTGAACATTCTTGGGCGTGTGTCTGCTATTAACAGCCAGTTTGAAGGGTGTATAGCGGCATCCTTGCAAATGAAGAGCATAGGCGCAACGATCTCGTGCAGAGAACTTAGATGGCTCTCGTGGACAAAACCACCGGCGGGCTGCATTAAGTTGAACTCTGATGGTGCCTTCAACCGTAAGTCTGGTATGGCCGCTACAGGAGGTCTTCTACAGGATGAAGATGGTCGGTGGGTAGCCGGGTTTGCGATGAATATCGGATTTTGTTCGGTCTTGGGAGCGGAATTATGGGGGCTATTCCAAGGATTAAACTTGGCGTGGAGGAGGGGACACCGTAGGGTGATTGCGAAAGTAGACAACAAGAACGTAGTGGAGTTGGTTATGCACCATGGCGAGCACACTGGTATTCATAGCAGTATCATTAAGGGTATTAGGGAGCTCTTGGGAAGAGAATGGAATATTGGGGTCAGACATATCCACCGAGAAGTCAATTTTGCAGCGGATTATCTCGCATCTCTTGTTTCGACCATGCCGGGTGGTCTCCACATACTTGATGACCCTCCCACGGGGGTGAAACCGTGGTTGGAACATGATATTCCAGGGGTTGCCCACCCTCGTAACATCGTAGTCTAAGGCTCTTGCCTTCCTCTTTGTACCAAAAAAAAAAAAAACACAAATTCTATAGTTAATTATAGATTGAACTGCGTCCGTCTGTGTATACACAATCGTAAGTCCACGTGTATATATAGAAATATATAGAAGGTTCTAGTGAACTTATACAAAACTGATGGCGACGAAATTGCACTAACATAGCTGGATAAATATGACTTAGCCTTATTAACATTTACTTTATTCCTCTATTTCTATTTGGTATGATTATTCCTTATTTTATTGTTGTACACACGCTTATATACCACACAAATACACTGACAAATAACATATATAAACACTGTTACTTAAAAGAGTTACTAAAAGCATCCACACAAAAAAAGTGCACATCCAAACTTCTGTCAAATACTTTTTATCTCTGTAATGAATTTCAGGTGCCATATAGAAACCTATATAACACAGTAACTTAGTGCATTAAAGTTTACATACAAGGCAATGCCATCTTTTGATTGATAGATTTTACAAACATAGATGTCCTCGAAACTCAGACCCGTTAGCTCTAAGGAGCATTGTGTTGTAAGTTAAACAACTCACTTGAACAGTCAATTGCATCGGACTGCATCAATTTTGCTTTATCAGGTGTGAGACTGTCGACAACCTAATAACACCGAACCCTGCAACCTGTTGGAAAAATCAG